TCGTGGGCCGTAGCCAGGTCCAGGACCCTCTCTCCCTCGGCGTTCCTCACTCCTATCCCTCTACCTCCGTGCACCCTTTCCAGGCCTCTTCTGTCACTGCCGACGTGGCCATTCAGATCACCTGCTATGGTCAGGTAATCGCCTTCCGGAATCGTTCTTATGGCTTCGTCCAGGCTCAGAGTAGAACTCGTCCTTCTCACTTTCGGGGCATCCGGCTTGCGGTGCGTACACGGAGAGTATTGTCCAGTACCCCTCCTTCGTGTCTATCCTCACAGCCATGATCCGATCGCTGATCCTGTTCACAGCGGAGACATAGTCCTTGAGCGACTCCGCTACCGCTATGGCCACGCCGTTCCGCTTGGTGTCTTCTCCATTGTAGTAGAGTTTGACACCTTCCCCGATTTCCCTGGCCTTAGCACCTTTCCATCGCGTCTCCTGAAGGCGATTTGTGTGATCCCCAACAGAGAGCAAACGCTCTCCTGATTTGACCCTTCCGAACTAATTTTAGATTCCGAATAATCGAAAGAGGTGCATGACAATATCTAACTCCTGCCACTTCGACTTCCCTACCTATTAGTGATGGAATCTTAAAGTTTTTCGTGAATTTATGAAATTTTTGCTATATTGAATTTACATCTATACGTTTTTGCAGACTCCGATCGATTTCTATTCCGTTAGAAAAAGTTAATATTACTCGCACATCATAGCGCGTCGTATTTCTAAGCAGGATCCTGAAATTTTTTTTTTTTTTTTTTTTTTTTTTTTTAATGTTTTTTTTATTCCTGTTCGAAAAATCAACACACGTATATCTATCCTTTCAGTCTGAACTTTTTATGCCTCTCAACTCTCTGACACCCTCGTTTCTATCTATCAAATCAATAATCAATTCTTTCGTTCCTTTAATTTCTTTCTCCCTTAACGTAAACGGAATGTGCTTTACAGCGTTCTGTGTTTGTTGAACGCTCTAGGGCACAGCTTCACGCAGTAAATTAACTAGTTACGGTCGTGTTCAAACCGCAGATGAATCTTCAACAGTATCATTGTTGATTATCTGTCTTATCTGTTCTTCTCGCTATTTTCTTCCTTAGCATTTATTCTTGTGGTTCTTTCTGAAAATACGGTCGTGTCACATAATAGAGTTTTCCCTAGTATAGGAGTTCGCTATGCATGAGCTCATAAAGTCTGAGCGGGACTACATAGAAGATCTACGGAAATGTATACAGGTGAAGCAATTTCTGGACAATTATTTTTATCTAGTTATTTTATTTTTGTGCAAGTTTTGTATAGTAGAGCTACATGTGAACGGGTATCCCGGGAGTTTTTCGTAGGTGTGGAGTCAAAAAATTACAGGCTCAACAGCGTAACGGATTACTATTCAAAGTTTTCGCTGTTTTCTTTTTTAGTCCCCCGCCCATTAAACAAGACCTAGGTCAGTGGTGATTTCAGACAACACACTGCTTGAGGTCACCGTCATTACATTAGACGTATGATTCCAATGTAGTTTAGCTACAAAGCAGATTCCCTGCTTTTTCTGAAGAGTGGGTGAGCTCAAGCTCGATGAGAGGGTGACCTCAAGCGGTGGTGTTTTGTAGGATCGATAGAATATCTGAATCCATGTGAAAAGGACCGAACCTGAATCAGTATGTGGATTTGGGTGAACAGGTCCTGCTCCGCTTGTCAGAGGGTGATTAAAAGCAACCAAGGATTCTACACTCTCAGGATGGATCCATTGATGCGGAACTATATGGGGAAAGCTGTTTGAAAGTGAGTGCTGCTTTCTGCAATGACCGACAGTCACGTTTTCAAACATGTGCCTCTTTGAGGTCAAATGCGCATCCAGACCCTCAGCGATTTCCGTTGGAGGTTGAAGATAGTGGTTTACGCTCAAAACAGGAAGCATTATCTGCCTACTTTGTCCCCTCTTTTCGGTCCGCTTAAGATTCATTCTGGCACTTGAATGCCACCGATTATTGATGTCTTTTCCTGAATTCCGAGTAGTTTCTTCCGCAGGCTGCATTTGCTAGGATGCAGTCGATATCCGAAGGTTGGGATAGCTTATCATCCGATAGTCGACTGCGCCCCCTCCCCCCCGTTTTATTAGAAGTTGCGTGGCAGCATGCCTTTGCTCATATCCAACGATATATGTTGGAACCAGCTGATCCATAGCTTCTGTCAACTGCACGTCACTTCCGGTGACACACCTACCCCAGCTCTTGGATAGAGCTCCACGCTACCGCAAGCGTTCTTCACTAAAGCTGGTACACATCGAAAATACCGTATCCGTTATAAGTGTGCCGCGCCGGCTGGAGATAGCGGTGCCTAGTGCATCAAGATCCTAAAGATTGCAATAGAAGGTAGAGAGAAAGCAGCGAAAGTATAATACGACCCGAAACGAATTGGTCGTTGCAAACAGACTTCCATCAGAAAATATAGGATTTCTACAGTAAATGGTTGTCACATTTTTGTTCGTGGCATTGACTTAAATTGACACAATTAACAATTTGAGTTGTTAATATCCTCATCCTTTCCTTTTCCTTATGTATAACCTCCTCTCTGAGGTGTTCCAACAGTTAAAAATTATCAGGTATACATTGCTGAATTCGATTCTGCTGAGGCAAATTCAACACTCCCATCCATTTTGAAAGATCGTCGCCAAGCAATCTTCGGTAACTATGAAAAGCTGTACGCTTTCCACTCAGAGTAAGCTCTTCTTCCAATATTCTGAGTTTTTCTGATTTCTATGTTTTAGTTATAATTCTTCGTAGGAATGGTTCGTATTATATTTGTTTTAGAGAGATAGTAGCTAAGTAAAGGAATATTGTAGGAAGTTTTTCCATGAACTGTCCAAGTACGAAGATGATCCAGAGGAAGTTGGTTGTTCGTTCACAGTTTGGGTGGATTATCTCAATGAGCTTTACACCGACTATTGTGTGAATATGGAGCAAAACAACCATGTAGTCGCGTTACCTGAAGTGATGTCATTCTTTGAGGTATCGTCCTAAAAGCTTGTCGTTTGAAATGCTTCAAATCATTTTTTTAATAATCGGAATCGGCATAGATCAGCATTCCAACTTCTGCAGGACTTCGTTTTTGTCTATTTTAAAGTTTAATTTACTACTTTCTAGTCAATAAGAGAGAAACATGGATTGGAGCAGAATAATTCGCTGCACTCCATGCGAATCAAGCCAGTGCAGCGGTGCACGAGGTAAGAGATACTATCAAATTGAATGTAATGTTTCTCCTCTCAAATCCTTGAATCCTGTTTTTTCTTCTGTGAAGAGGCGCCGCGCTCTTGGAATAGTTTTGTTCTGCAGTTCCCCATTTTTCGACAAGGCTTAGAGCTCTCTTGGCTCTAAGCTGTGTCCAGACATCGATTTGGCTGGATTTTGGATAGATGACTTCGGCTAAATTTATGGCCTTATTTTGCTTGTTTTGTTTATGGGGTGAGGTTTACCAAAATATTTCCAGGTATAAGTTATTGATGGAACAGCTACTCAAGCACTGCAGCAATGTAGAGGAAATTCGCGTACGTTAATGTTGTTTATTTCTTCAATTTTCAGAAAGCAGCATGTTCATCCTAGCTTCAGATTCCTTTTTGCAGTCACCTTAATTTTAAGCATTATAAAATCATTTAATGCTATGACATTGTTTTATGATTCAACATTCGTTTTAGGAAGCTTATGATGTTGTAAAGAGTCTTCCTCGCCGTGTCAATGATATTATTCACTTCAATGGACTCGAGAAGGACAAGGTATCGTAATTCATTTCAAATCGTTCGGGGTTGTAGATTGTAGGTTCAATTTGGATGGAGTAGCTTCTTTCGTGATTTCAGCTTGCTGCTTAGCATATAGTAG